CGCTAAGGATGTCCGACTGCAGCTTAGGCCTGCTCCCCGCTGGCAAGTGGACATCCCCCGAGGGCTCCCGGGCTGCCAGAGGGATGTCTGACTGCCAGCTTAGGCTTAATCCCCCGGGGAGCGGGCCTAAGCCAGCAGGTGGACATCCCCTGAGGGGTCCCAGACTGTGAGAGGGCACAGGCCAGGCTGAGGGCCCCCCGCCCCGAGTGCACAAATTTTTGTGCACTGGGCCTCTAGTACTACATAAATATCACAGCTGTTAGATTAGACCAGGGGAGCCCTTGGGTGCTGGACTCCAGGACTGGTTGAATTAGAAGGGAACTAAAAGGTCTGCCTCCTACCCAGAACAGAAGTCCTTTCAATAAGGATGTGACTGGAGCAGGAAAACAAAGGGTTCAAGAAGGTGTGTCATTAGGGGAAAATGGAATAACCAGTGAGTCTGTGAGAGATAGTATTCAGATTTTGCACTTCTCTTGGACAGTTTGGAAAAGAATTAAGCAATAGTGACATAGAAAATTCATTAAATTTAAAAAATAATACAACTTAATTCTAGAAAGAACAATGACATAGGAAGAAATTGGCTTAGCAGTGATCCATACTAATAAAGTCATAAGATAAACACTAAATAAGGATTCAACCCCAAATCATACTATAACTATGTTGGAAGGAGGAAGAAAAAAAAGTGGGGACATAAGGTGATGTATGTACAAGTGCCATTTCCCATAATAGAAAGTCAGTAGATACTCTCTAAAATGATTAAGCAATAAATAGTGGACTTTGGAAATTAGGAAATCAGGGGCTTCAGCCAGGAGAAGTGAGATAGCAGGAGAGGTTGGATTTTAAAGCCAACACAGTGAGTACTGATGACTGTTCAGAAAGGGATGGTCATAGTGAAAAGAGAAGACAGAGCTGGGGGAGAAAAGCAAGGTCAAAGAACATTTTGGAGGACTGCGTACAAGGAATTGTTTTAGGAATCAGTGTTGGACTATTAATCATTTGTACAATTTAGAGGCTTTTGATTCTAGACTTTATTTTGTTTTCTGTTTGTATGTATGTGAGGGAAACATGTTTTTTAGCTGAAAGAAACTAGCTTGTGAAATGGGAGGAGTTGAATCAGAGAGAGAGAAAAATTTATGCAGCGAAGTCTACATTAGGAGCCATTCCGCTTAAATTCATATTGAAAACATACATACTAGAAAGGCAGTTGTGTAGAAGCTACTATTTGGGGTAAGAAGGCTAAGGTTGATTTCACAATTTTTTACTCCTGGATTTCTATAGTGTCTACAATAGTTTATATTTCTATAGTGTCTACAATACTATTGTAGACACTATAGTTTCTATTGTAGACACTATAGAAACTGTTTTTCTTGACTTGGGCATTAGGTAGAGTACCTATAATATTGAGGCATTTCCTCAGAAGATGGGCCAAAGTAACCCTAGAATGAAGGATGGCTGACTCTGGCTAACAAAGCTTAAAAGCAAATTTTGAAAGGATCCAAGTGTTTCTAAGTAATTGTGTACCAGAATAAAGCTCAAGAATATTTTAAGAAATATAAAACCAGCACCTAGAAAGATAAAATCCCCAATTTCTGGTGTTCAATAAAAAATTACCAGGCATGAAGACACTGTGGCTCCAAAGGCAGCCAGATATCCTCAGAAGAGCACCCTGAGGAGAAACAAGCTTGACCGCTATGTCGTCATCAAGTTCTTACTATGGAGCCAATCATGAAGAAGATTGAAGACGACAATACACTGTGTTCATTGTGGATATCAATGTCAGCAAGTACCAGATCAAACAGGCTGTGAAGAAACTCTATGACATTGACGTGCCAAGGTCAACACCTGATTGGGCCTGATGGAGGGAAGAAGGCATATGTTTTACTGGCTCCTGACTTTGGGTGTTGCCAACAAAATTGAGATCACCTAAACTGAGTCCAGCTCCCTAATCCTATATAATAAAAGTCTAATATGCAAATCGACCAAACGGTGGAATGACCAGTGGAATGGCCAGTCGCTATGACATGCACTGACCACCAGGGGGCAGATGCTCAATGCAGGAGCTGCCCCCAACCTACAGGCCTCAGGCCAGCCAAGGCAGGTGCCAGCAGGGGCCCCTGATCGCCCCACCGGTTGCCCCACAGATTGGCTCTGATCACCGGCCAGGCCTAGGGACTCTACCCATGCATGAATTTCGTGCATCAGGCCTCTAGTTCTAAATATAAATTTTTTTCACTGTAAAAAAAATTGCGCATAATGAGAAAAATCAAGAAATAACCCATAAATGATAGGTGATAGAATTAGTAGAAAAGAACATTCTTAACAGTTATAACTATATTCCGTATATTCAGGTGGTAGAGGAAAGCATGAGTATATTAAGGACAGACACAGAAGATATAAAGTAAGCCTCAAACAGAACTTCCAGAGAGTAACAAAATGAGATGAAACCAAACAAACTGAGATTAAGACCAGTCAGACACTGCAGAAGAAAACATTACTGATCCTGAAGACACAGCAATAGGAACTGTCCAGAATGAAAAACAGGACATCCCACTGTGCTGGTATCAATTTATTGCCTCAGCTCCAAATTCACCTTTTGGCCTGCTCTGTTGTAACCGTGCTATTTTTTGTAATATCTCTCCTTTATCAGCCAGCAAGATGTTAAGTGTTGCCAGTAGAGGGTGCTTGAGAGACTTTGGAGAAAGTCGGGGCTTTCCTTCCAATTATAGTATTGCTCTTGAAGTCCATGAAGAGCACTCTTTTTCTCCACTGCATCGGCCCCTGAAGTTTCTCCAGTGCTAGGTTCCTGCATAGCACAGTTTGCTTCAACATTTAGCTACTGCAACTCTTGTTCTGATGAGTTCTCAATTCAGCCAGAAACAGTGCAAACCAAAAGACAGTATATAGCATCTTGAAAGTACTGAAAGAAAAAACTGTCAATACCCAGCAAAAATATCTTTTTAAAAGAGTAATCCAATAAATACTACACATGACCCATGTTCGAATGTCCCCAGTTTCCAAATAATGTTCTTTATGGCTGGTTTTTCCCCTTCCAGTCTAGGATCCAGTCAAAGATCTTAAGTTGTTATGTCTCTTGAATCTCCTTCAATTTAAAACAGTCCCAAGTCTTTTTTATTTTTCATGACATTGACTTTTTTAAAGAGGTCAGGCTATTTTTTTCCTTTTTTTGCAGAATGCTCCTCAATTCTCATTTTGTTGGATTATTCCTTCGTGATTAGATTCAGGTAAACCTTTTTGGCAAAAATGCTACATCAGCAATATGTCCTTCTCAGTGCATCACATCAGGGCCCCTGATGTCCATTTGTCCCATTATTGGTGACATTAAGTTTAATCGCTTTGTTAAGGCAACATTTGTAAAATTTCTGTAAGATACCTTTTAGATAACCCTTTGTGGGTGATGTTTTGAGACTATGTGAATATCTTCTTCCTCAATTGGCTTTCATCCAGGGTTTTAGTATCCATTGATTCTTGCCTGAATGCTCATCTTTAAAGAAGCATTAGGAATAATAGTGCTTCCTGTCTAAATTTTAAAACGATAATTACTTTATAATCTTTGTAAGCATTTCCCTTGGTTATTTAATTGATGAGAGCTATGGTGTCCATTTGGGATCTTTTCCTTTCAGCACAGACAGACATCTGAGGGAATCTATGCCACATGGAAACTCAGCTTGCCTTGCCTTCAGAGGGAAGGTAGTCAGAGTAATAATAATTATGGGAAGCCCAATAATAATAACATTATTATTAAGAATAACATTATTGAACGTGCTATAGATAACTAGTGTGCCAGACTCCAAATAACATACGCCAGACATAATCCATGCCTGTGAGAGATTTTGTGATGGATTTAAAAAATGGCAAAAACTTTGGGAAAGTTTTTTTTTTCCTCTGTCTCCAGAATTCTATAATTAAAGCCTTTATTTCTCTTTTTAAGAATCCCACATTTTTTCCATATATCTCTAAGGATCATACCCCTAAAACTTTCTTCTTGAGAAAAGAAAGATCCTCTCTGTCAACAATGCCAAATTGGTACTCAGTTCACTGGAATATGGCAACTCATTTCCACTCACTTTTAACCAGATGAGTGGGAAAAGGTAGTAATAATTTTTTAAAAGTTGGGGGCACATGAAGACCTCAAGGTATGAATAAGCTCAGGCCAGCTTCTTACCTCCTGAGCTTTAAGGTGTAAGTCCTGGGTCCCTCAGTGGGAAGACCCTTTCCTCTGTCCCAGACCAGTGTCCATCTCACCCCTGCCTAGACTGACCCTGGACCAGAAGAGGTGCTCGCGACCTCCTTTGGCAGCACCTTTCCTGCCTCTGCAGTTTACCAGCTCTCCTGCAGGTCAGCATCATTCCCAGATAACAGGAAATCACCCTGGGAAATGGTCTTTTTGTTTGAAGGCTTCCAGCTGCATCTCTGCCCATCCTCCTGCCCGGTCCACCAGGAACTTGCTTTGCTCACATTTCAACAGTGCATGAGGGAGCATTTGTCTTGATAGTTTCCGAGATCATTCTGGCACCTGATTCCCCAATGTGATTTCCCTGGAGACTAGAGAAAGATTAGGACAAACTGAGAAATTGGCTGAAGGGCTAGAGCAGTGGTTCTCAACCTTCCTAACGCCGCGACCCTTTAACACAGTTCCTCATGTGGTGGTGACCCACAATTTCATTGTTACAAATTGAACATAAAGCATAGTGATTAATCACAAAAACAATATGTAATTATATATGTGTTTTCTGATGGTCTTAGGTGACCCCTGTGAAAGGGTCGTTCGACCCCCAAAGGGGTCGCAACCCACAGGTTGAGGACCGCTGGGCTAGAGGCTACAGTTTCTCTTTAGTAAAGAGCAGAAGGTCAGTACATAAGATGCAGAGCTCTGGGTGAAACCTTGTGCTTCCAGGATCTCTCCCATGGACAAGGCTCTGAATGGCTTTCTTTTATATTGAGTTTTTCCCCAGAGCTGCTGAGGTGCCTGGGAGTCCGCTGGCTCCAAAAATCAGGCAGAAGGTAGGGCCTGACCTGGGAACAGTTCTAAGGGTGAGAATGGCAGGAAAGGGCAGAGACTGCTGAACCCCACTCACTTGATATGCTGGATCCCGTGGTTTCCAGACAGTGCGGTGGCAATGCATATCATCCCATCCATCCCCAAGGAATTCTCTTGAAGACTAGGCAGAGAAAAGATGGAGACACCAGAGTGAGCCAGTCAGGGCAGAACACACCTCTGAAAGCAGCACTGCATTATCCTGTGGGATAGTTCTGGCACTGATTTCTCCACAGGTGCCATAGCAACAGCAAGGTGGGCATTTAATCCTGAGACGAGTTTATGAGGAGCCAGGTTGTACCGTCTTAGTGCCATGGAGATTATAAGACCAAAAATGCTGATGTTAAGTGATTTACCTCTGACCTATGCTAGGCAAAATGACCAAACTCTTCCATAATATAGACTATAGTCACCAGAACAGTCTGAACTATTACTATTCAGAAGGAAGCAGCTACAGAGGAAATCAAGAGCATCTTATCCCCTGGGGAGGTTCCAGCATAGAAGTCCTCTGCTCTGGGGTGCAGATAGGGCTCGGCAACCACTCACTTGAGTCTTCGGAGGCTTGAGTTGACCTTCAGAGCATTTGCCAGGGCTTTGGCTCCAGCCACCCCAATGGCGTTTCCTCTTAAACTGTAAAAAAAAAAAGACAGGCAATGGGCCCTGGCCAGTGTTCTCAATGGTTAGAGCATTGGCCTGTGCACTGAAGGGTTGTAGGTTTTATTCCCCATCAAGGGCACATACCTGGGTTGCAGGTTCATCCCGGCCCCAGTGGGGGCACATGTGGGAGGCAACCAATCGATGTGTCTCTTTCACATCAATGTTTCTCCCTCTCTCTCACCTCTCTCCCTTTTCCCACTCCCTCCCACTTTCTAAAAATCAATGGGGAGGGGAGGGGGGAGATATCCTTGGGTGAGGGTTTAAAAAGAAAGAAAGAAAAGACAGGCAATGTAAGGCACCGTGATGGCTGAGAGGTGAAAATGCTATTTCTTCAGATGAGTATGGGCTACTGGTGAGAGGCAGTGTGGACTCAGCAGCCATGAGGAGTTAGGTTGCTCCTTCCTTACTCTCAAGCCAAAACGGAGTTTGGCTTTGGGGAGCAAGCAGGACACACAGGAGGGGTGAGCCAGCCCAACCTGGGTGGTGTGTTGGTGCCTTCATTCTCCTTTTACATTCCCAAGGAAGAGCTGGGCTGACAGGAGAGGCAGCACTACATCCAGCAGTCCCTGTGTGCTCAGCATCACAGAACCACGGGAGCAGGGGTGACCTGGACATGCCTGAAAGCCCCACAGAGCTTGAGGCCGCAAGCTCCTGGATCTCAAAGACCAAGATCAGTGGACACAGACCACCCCAGGGACCCCTAAACAAGATCTTGGGACATTCAGCCGGGGCAAGACCAAGAAAAGCAGGTACTCAAGAAAAGGAGGCCCAACAATAGTGACTCCCAGGGAGAAGGGGTGAAGTAGGAATGGGGAAGCTGGGCATGCTTGATATTTAATTGCTTTGTGAATTTCTTACAAATTGATATTTTTTTTTCTCCTCCATATCTATTCACTTGAATCAACAGTTTGGTTTTTTTGGGCAAGAGTCTTTAGCCGGAGGCTGGAATACTTACTCGAGAATCTCCAAGGTTCTGTTCACAGCGAGGGCCTCCCCCAGTGCCTGAGCCCCCGGCGCACCAATGGAGGCCACCTGGAGACTAAGAGGAGATGCTGTTAACGTAGTCAGGCCAGACAGGCTGGGCTCTCCAGCCCTCATACCTGCCCGGGGCCCAGCTTCCGTTCACAGGCACCCTCATTTTCACCACCCTTGACTTAGGGTCGAAAATGACAAAATAGCACTGAAAATTGGCTGTGGTCTGTCCAAAGGATACTGCATATCCTCCCTGCACTGTTTGTGCTTGGGACATATCTAGGTACTATGGATACAGGAAATAGAGGTAGTCTCCTGGGGAGTTTGCAGGAGAACACTGCCTGTACCCCTAAATTTTGTTACAACTGCAGGAGCAAGAATGCGCTGGGCATCCCTTCTCCTGCCTGGTTGCTGATACTAGGAAAATCAAATGCAGCTTCCTAGACTGGGAAACAAAAATGGTTTTCCATACGAAAGGATGGTAAAGGGCTGGCTTCCTGGACTGCTGCGCGCGTCAGGACTTACTAGAGAGCAGTGAGGGCTGTGTTTGCCTTCAGCGCACTGGCCACTGCACAGGCGCCTTCGTCCCCGATGGCGTTCTCCTGTAAACTGAACACAGAGAGTGAGCCTGGGCCAGCTCTCTAGCATGACGTGCTGAGCTTGGACCTTCTACCTAATTCAGACCACACACATTGTAGACTATACTCCCAGGGTCACCCCATGGCCTCCTGATTAACATTCAGGGGGACCTGGGGTCTGGACCATCAGAAGCAAACAAGAAAAGGGACACATGGAAGCATTGCCAACAAATGCGTGAGATAAAGTGTGCTTTTCGAAGCCAACTAGAACACTGAAAGCCCTCTGTCCCCAGGCCATTCTTGCTAGCTACAGTAATAATTTAACAAACGCTTGAGTGTATAGTGTGCACTAGCAAGGCCAATTCCGCCTTTTTGGAACTCAGGTGAGGAGACATGATTAAATGAGCAGTCACTATAGGCTAAGAGCAGGCTGCAGTGTGGTCCCAGAGAAATAGGTCTAAACCAGTGGTTCTCAACCTTCTGGCCCTTCAAATACAGTTCCTCATGTTGTGACACAACCATAAAATTATTTTCGTTGCTACTTCATAACTGTAATGTTGCTACTGTTATGAATCGTAATGTAAATATCTGATATGCAGGATGGTCTTAGGCGACCCCTGTGAAAGGGTCGTTCGACCCCCAAAGGGGTCGCGACCCACAGGTTGAGAACTGTTGGTCTAAACCAAAACCCAAAGGATAAGAGATGGGGAGGGGGCCTAGGATATCTAAAGAACCCAACGACATTGAGTCAAGTCTCTCGAGAGTGAAACGAGGCTGAGGAAACATTAAGGAAGCAGATGTTTGGGGGCCCTAGAAGCCATGCTAAAGGTTGGACTTCACTCGGCAGGCCCTGGGCAGCCATTGAAACATCTCACCAGGACTGGGACAGATTTGCATTTTGAAAAGATCCTGGCTAGCCGTGGATGGACTGGGTGTGGAGGCTGCTGCAGTGATGCAGGTGAGTGATGCTGGTGCCTGGACAGTGGCCTGGGGTGGGACACTGGGAAGAGAATCAACAGGACTTGGAAATGAATCAGTAGGACTTGGAAAAGGGCAAGGGTGATGTTTCTACTTTTCACAGTTGGTTGGCTGGTTCTAGTCATAAGATGGGGAACCAAGAAGCAGGCTTGTGGGGGGGATCATTCAGGCAATCTGAAGTACCACTGAGACACCTAAAGGGAGGTGCGGAATGGGCAGTAGATACACGGGTCTGGAGCTCCGGAGAGAGGTCTGGGATACAGCTGTGGGGCCATAAGGACTTCAGAGCCTGGGAGAGGAGAGCTTCCAGAAGAGAGATAGCACCTTCAAGGGAAGATGGCCTGGGACAGAACCCTGAGGAACACAAGTATTTCAAACAGAACTAGCCAGAGATGGGATATCCTGGAAGCTGAGAGAGAAGTAGTCAGCGTCAAAAGGAGATGAAACGCAAAAGGTTACCATTTGACCCAGCAATTCCATTCCCAGGTGTATACACAAGAGGACTGAAAGCATACACAGAAACATGTACATGGATGTTCACAGCAGCATTATTCATAATAACCAAAACGTGGAAACAACCCAAATGTCCAGCAACAGATGAAAGTCTTATCCATACAGTGGAATACTATTCAGCCATGAAAAGGAATGAAGTGCTGACACATGCCACAATGTGGATGAACCTTGAAAACATATTAAATGAAAGTTGCCAGTCATGAAAGGCCACATATTGTATCATTTCACTTACAGAAATGTCACGAATAGATAAATCCATAGAGAGAATAAATTAGTGGCTGCCCATGATAGGGCAGAAGGGGAAGTGACCACTGATGGATCTGGGTTTTCTTAGAGGGTGATAGAAATGTTCTAAATTTAGTTGAGGTGTTGCACAACTGTGAATATACTAGAAACCAGAGAATTATATACCTCAATAAAGCTATTATGTATTTTTTAAAGCAGATGAGGATGGAAACATGCCTGCTGGCCTTAGGACAGAGGAGGCTGTGTGCTGAGGGCGTGAGCCCTGTGCTTGGTGGGCACTGAGGTTTCAGATGCCCCTGCCCCCGTGGAGTCCCCACTTACTCGAGGCTGATCAGGCTCTTGTTGAACTGTAGTGCTTGTCCCAGGGCCTTGGCGGCGCCGGCCTGGATGAAGTTCCACTGCAGGCTAGGCAGACACGGACCACATGACTATGTGGCCCAAGGCAGAGTCCAGGCGGTCCTGGGCTCCAGAAAGAGCGGGCTTCTCCCAGGAGAATCTGACGCCAGGGAATGGAGTCCCTGCGGGGTGTGTTCTAGAGGGACCACTGATGGGCAGAGCTCCTGCAACCCTCCTCAGCCTTAGTCCCAAGGAGTCAACGTTTACTCTCTGGTTAGGGGTGGGTACAGGCTCAAATAAAGACTCCAGATGGTCCCTGCTGTGGTTGCCCACCTCCAACCCCATTGGTCTCCCCGTGGATCAATCTCAGGAAGTGGAGCAGGGGCAGGGCTGGTGGCCCTGCAAGTGACCACCTGCAGCCTGCTGGAGGCCCCAGAGACCATGTGGGAGATCCCCAGAGCTGGACTTGGTCTCCTGCATCAACTGGTTTGGGGGAGCCCTGCAGCTCTGGGCAGGGGACGGGGTAGGTGGGGGCCCCGAGGACTCACTGAAGGGACATGAGGGTGTGGTTTTCTCTCACTGCCATTGCGATGGCCTGGGCACCCTGGTCATGGAGGAGGTTGGCTGTCAGGCTGGGAGGAGAGGAACAGGGGCGAGTGAGCAGAAGCCGACCATGATGTCCCTGTCCTTGCTCCCCAGGGAATCCAGACCGCCCTCCCCCAACCCAAGGACTGCATCGGGCCCACTAGGATAGCCCAGCTCACACCTATGGAGCACTTGCATGTGCCAGGCACGTGCCCTGGACTGTTGTAACAAATCTGACACCCCCAGGGGGAGTGGGCCCAAGCTCAGCTCAGTGAGGTTCCATGACAGGTCACCCACCAGGAGGTGGCAGAGGACTCACTCCTGATTCCTGAACTGTGCTGCCCCCACGATGTGGCCCCTTCTACATGCTCGTCCAGAGCAAAGGGCTGAGGGCCAGAGAGTTGCCACTACTTCATCCTCATGTAATTTATGACAGGACAGTGGGGGACTTGTGTCTGAGTCACCACCAGGGGCCAGGTCTCCTGGCTACCTCCTCCCAGCCAGGTCCTTCTTCAGCCTTTTATAATGGCCAGAGTGACCAGGGCCTGGCCCATCAGTCTCTGGGCTTTGCATAGGTGGGGCCCTGGCATCAAGGAGCCTTAGGAAGCACAGCCCTACCCCCCGCCCCCACATCCCACCACAGTGCACCAATGCTCACGTACTCCAGGTTCTTCAGGGTGCTGTTGGTGCAGAGAGCTCGAGCCAGATCCTGGGCTCCCTCTGGGCTGATGGAGTTTTCCCGAAGGCTGAAGAAAGAGAAGACCCTGAGCTGCTGACCAGGCAGATGAGGCCTCTGGGGGAGACAAGCCCAGGTGTTCAGACTTTTAGAACCAGAGAAACCTCATGTGGGACCCGGACTTCCTGAGCGAGCATGTGGTGTGTGCCTCCAGCGAGCCCAGGTTCTGGAGGCTAGGCAGCCAAGTGTCTCCCCTTTAGGACCTACCAGTAGGACAGTCTAGGAGGAAGAGGATAAGACAGTGGGACCTTAGAGCTGTGAGGGGCAGGCATGCTTGGGTGCCTAAAGGATGTGTATATGGGCAGGGAGCAGCAGAGCTGGCCAGCTGGAGGCCACAGCTGCCCCTGCCCTCCCAAGAGCAAGGTAGAGTGCAGGATGCCAGCCCCAGAACCAAGCTGCCCAACCAGAGGTCGTCACAGGGGTAATGTGGGCTTCCCAGCTCCGGCCTTTCCTTCCAAGTCCCTTTGGACCCTCTGACCAAAGGGATACCTGGTTGGAGAGGGAGGCTGGGACTTACTTGAGGCTGAGGAGGGCTCGGTTGGCGCAGAGGGCCCCCATCAGCGCTGCCACTCCGGTGTCACTGATGGAATTGCTCTGCAGGCTGAAGACAGAAGAGAGGGCACATTTGACGTGGCTGTCTCAGGACTCGGAGGGAGCCATCAGTCCAGCTGAAACACTAAGCTCGCCAGGGAGTTGGGGGACACCTGAGGCAGGGGCCACACCACATTGTTTTTTTTCATCATCCCTCTTTCCTTTCCTCGGAGGGAGCCATCAGTCCAGCTGAAACACTAAGCTTGACAGGGAGTTGGGGGACACCTGAGGCAGGTGCCACACCACATTGGTGTTTTTTTTTTTATTATTTTTTTATCATCTCTCTTTCCTCTCTCATCCCCACAGTCCAGCCCCTGCTAGGTCAGGGCAGGTGCGTATAGCACCACCAGCCCCAGAGTTTGACTCTGCTTTGGTTTGGGTGGCTCCAAATGGCCTCAGAGACCAGTCCACAGGCCGATGCTGTATCCACTGAGCCAAACCCACTAGGGCTCATCCCTCTTTCCTCTCTCATCCCCCACAGTCCAGCACCTGCTAGGTCAGGGCAGGTGGATATAGCATAACCAGCCCCAGAGTTTGACTCTGCTTTGGTTTGGGCGGCTCCAAATGGCCTCAGAGAGGGGGCGTGCGCTTGTCTGCAGCCCCCAGAGAAAGTGGCACAGTTGAGTCCCCCCAGTGTGGGAGCAGCGCCAAGCTCCCCCACCCCCACCAAGGCCACTGCTGCTGGCCCTTTCTTTAGCTACCTGCACTGACTTCTAAAGGGCTTTCATAGTACCTAGATATGTTGTCACCCTGAAAACACCAACCCCTACTGTCCAGGGAGATGGAGCTGGTGTGGTAGGTGAAACAGGTGGGGCAGGCATGGAGGGCCCACCAAGGCCACTGCTGCTGGCCCTTTCTTTAGCTACTTGCACTGACTTCTAAAGGGCTTTCAGCGCTTGTTGTCACCCTGAAAACACCAACCCCTGCTGTCCAGGGAAATGGAGCTGGTGTGGTAGGGTGAAACAGGTGGGGTAGGCATGGAGGGAGAGACACTGAGATCATAGCGTGCCCACGGTTGGGGGTTGGTTGGGTTCTGGCAGGGACATCCATCCATCCATCCATCCATCCATCCATCCATCCATCCATCCATCCATCCATCCATCCATCCATCCATCCATCCATCCATCCATCCATCCATCCATCCATCCATCCATCCATCCATCCATCCATCCATCCATCCATCCATCCATCCATCCATCCATCCATCCATCCATCCATCCATCCATCCATCCATCCATCCATCCATCCATCCATCCATCCATCCATCCATCCATCCATCCATCCATCCATCCATCCATCCATCCATCCATCCATCCATCCATCCATCCATCCATCCATCCATCCATCCATCCATCCATCCATCCATCCATCCATCCATCCATCCATCCATCCATCCATCCATCCATCCATCCATCCATCCATCCATCCATCCATCCATCCATCCATCCATCCATCCATCCATCCATCCATCCATCCATCCATCCATCCATCCATCCATCCATCCATCCATCCATCCATCCATCCATCCATCCATCCATCCATCCATCCATCCATCCATCCATCCATCCATCCATCCATCCATCCATCCATCCATCCATCCATCCATCCATCCATCCATCCATCCATCCATCCATCCATCCATCCATCCATCCATCCATCCCCATGCTCACAAATATTTATGATACGCTGGGCATTGTGTTAGACACTGAGGATACCAATTTGGCCTTTCTGCATTTCTCACATGAGCTCCTTCAGACTCCTGTTGTGCTTCAGGGCATCTGCCATGTGCTGGGCTCCCATGGGCCCGATGGTATTCTTCTGCAGGCTGTGAGAGAGGAGAGGGGTCCTTTAGCAAAGCTGGTCCCAGCTATTCCCAGGCCAAGAATACTCTGACTCAGGGTGAGAGGTCAGAGACAACAGAGTGCTGAGTGCCAGTCATCTCTTTGAAATGTACACATCAAGGAAGATAGCACAGACTCCAAGTTGTAAGAGCCTTCTTGTCATGAAGATATAAAGTTTTAACTTTCCTTTGGCTAAAGGCAGTTAACAAACACAGATGGCTGTCCCAACTACCAGGGTAATTTAGGATAAACTATGTGTGACAAACGCTGCTGTCCAGTTCTCTTACTTGAGGACAAGTTGTTTATCTTGGAAACATGTATGTAATGGGTTGTGTCTGTTGGCTATGGAAGAGGGTGTGATTTATTTCTGCCTTTGCAATCTCATCAGCAGATTGCCTATGATGTACATTACAGTCCAGGTGAGTGTTTATTCAAATAATAAAGCTGTTTTGTTCTTCCTCCCATTTGTGGAGAGGGTTTTCTGGATTGGCAGGAGGTTTTATTTTTAATTTTTTGCCCAACACCTGTTCTCTGGAAAAGCAATGGACGTCAAGTTTTCCAGGGGCCATCCAGACAGGTCAGAAAGCCTCAGGGCCTTGCCCATCCATCCCTCCTTGCAAAACACAGGCAGAGAGGTCCTTGGAGGAGAAGATGAGAGAGTACAAAGGAGACTTTCTGATGGCCAGCACGTCCACTCACTGCATCACGGAGAGGGTCCGGTTGGCTGCCAAAGCCTCAGCCATGAACTTGGCACCATCGTCCCTGATCCTGTTACTCTGGAGGCTGTGGAGGCAAGGAAGAGGCGCGTCACCAATGGAGCACACAGGGGCACCCAATGGTGGCCTGAATCCCACCACAGTGTCACCAATGCTCAAGGGAGGGCAGCAGCTAAGCTCAGTGACAAGGGGCTTTAACCACTCTATGCCCTCAATGCACACCACACAGGAACTGGGCAACAATTGGCCTTTCCCTCTGTTGCTCTGGACTTAGGTTTTCCTCTGGGTCTCTAAGCACTGGCCTGCTGACTGGGGACAAGGTGCCCATGGTATCTGGGTAACAAAAGCTAGGTCATCGGTAATCCCAATTATACCTAAAAGTCATAGCACCCAAGGGTTGGCGAGGATGTAGAGAAATCGGAACCCTCATCCACTGCTGGTGGGAATGTAAGATGGTGTGGCCACTGTAGAAAACAGACTGGTGGTTCCTCAAAAGGTTAAACATAGAGTTACCATGTGACCAGAAGATTCTACTCCTAGGCATCTACCCAATAGAATTAAAAACAGTTATTCAAATGCTGTTCACAAATGTGTACAGCACCATTATTTTCATGGCCAAAAGTTGAAAACAACCCAAATGTCCATTAACTGATGAATATTATTTGGCCATAAAATGGAATGAACTACTGATACATGCTAAAATGTGGATGAACCTTGAAAACATCTTAAGTGAAAGAAGACAGACATAAAAGGTCTTATTGTATGCTTCCATTTATATGAAATATCCAGAATAGGCAAATCCATTGCACAGAAAGCAGATTGGTGGTTGTTGAAGGGAGGGGAGAATGGGAAGTGACTGCTAATGGGCACAGGGTCTTCTTTTGGGGTGCTGAAAATATTTTAGAGCTAGATAGAGGTGACAGTTGCACAATTGTGAATGTATTATGTGCCATTGAACTGCACACTTCAAAATGGTGAATTTTGTGGGAACCTCACCTCAATATAAGAAAATGAAAACAGGGAGAGGTAGCCACCATGGTAAGGAGAGACATGGGTCAGGCGACCACGCAGCCAGAATAAAGATAAATGAAGAATTCAAAAGTAAAGAAAATGAAGCTTCTCCTAAGAAAATAGAAGAGACATCAAGTTGCCTGGTGAAAAGAACATGGATTAGCCATGGTCAAAACAAGAGCAGCTGAACCAACTCAGACACCCACCGAAATGCTATCTTCATTAAACTAATAAAAAATAGGTTCCGCCCTGGCCGATGTTGCTAAGTGGTTGCATTGGGCTGCACTCCAAAGGGGTGCTGGTTTGAGTCTGGATCAAGGGCATGTACCTGGGTTGCAGGTTAGCTCCCTGTCCCGAGTTGGGGCATATGCAGGAGGCAACCGGTTGATGTGTCTCACTCACATCGATGTTTCTCTCCCTCCCTCCTGCTCTCTCTGAAAAGCAATGAGAAAAAATATCCTCAGGTGAGGATTAACAGCAACAAAAAACGTTTCCGATGTGGAATTGTTACTCAGAAGATCTACTACACAAGGTGTTTACACAGACCACAATACACTGAAATTGGTCCCTAGGAAAGACGTTCTTATAGAAAATAAGCCGTATTGTGATGCACCAATTGAGAAGCAATGAATTCCTAGGATAAATTCAAGTCTTATCATTTTTAATTTTAGAATATATAACTGAAGCATAAACAAACAAATACATAAAAACAAAACAAAATGGTGGTACACATTCAACTTAGGATGGATACAACCACTGGCTCCTAAAAGGAGCACAGCAAACCACACCAAACTATAAGAATCTTCTGAAAGATGGGCTTTCAATGTCTTGGAAAACATCTCAGGGGAACATTCTGATACCATGATCTTGGGGATTTCTCATTCAATGGAGGACAAGAGGTTTTCCTCATAGATTATTTTGCTCCTCCACCTCTACATATCTCTACCCTTCTTCTCCTCTATTCCTTGCTCAGGCCGTAAACACAAGCACAATAACCAGGGAGGAGCTGGAACTTGGAAACTTGCTTAGGATACAAGATCCTGTGGTACCCACTGGGTGGGAGCTGGTGTCTGATGCCCACATTTTCAACCACCTCCTACTCCATGGGTGGCACCTGAAGGGAAGGTTTTCAGGGGGAAGCAGGTGACACGTACCTCAGAGAGGCCAGGGTGCGGTTAATCTTCAGAGCATCTGCCAACGCCTTGGCCCCTTGAGGTCCAATAGAGTTACAGCGGAGGCTGGCGGAAGGGAGAGAGAAACAACCATTCTCTTTCATCCAGTGCCCAGGAAGGGAAGTTACACCAGAAGTTACACTGACCTTTAAATCTATGCTTCTTGAACAGAATGTATCAGGGTTTAGGATTTCATGTTTGGTGCAAGTGGGACAGAGATGTTTATGTAGGCAAACAAGGAAGGAGTTTCTGAAGGAGCCCCATGTGATGGGCAGAAGAAAATAGGATCCGATGCACTAGTGGACTTGAGCCAAGGACGGAGAGGAGAATGATAACTCCAAATTCAGGCCTGAAATTCTGGTGCTTCCTGGGCGAGTCCGAATAGCTGAGCAGGAACTGTGACATTGTTTGCTCAGCTATTCTTCCAGTCCACCCATGGGGGAGACTGGTCAAGGGGACTTCACAACATGTCTCACAAGTGCTCCCTGTCCCTATGGGGAAAGACTGGCCTTTGGTGGTGTACTTACTCTAGAGAAGTCAGACTTCTGTTGACAAGGAGGGATCTGGCCAGAGCTTTGGCCCCTTTGTTACTGATCTGGTTCTCAGCCAAGCTGCCCAAGGAGAGGGAGAAGAGTGGTTATGGCAAGTCTATAAATATCAGCTCCAGGCTCATGATCCAAACCCCTCAGCCTCACCAGCATCATCAGGGCCAGGACAGAGGCAGAGATCAGGTGAGCCCTGGAACAGAATGCCAGGCCCACAAAAGCCTCTGAGCCAAGCAAGGTAGGACTAGAGTAGGCAGACAGACCTGCACACTGGCAAAGGGTCCCAGGGAAGTTTGGTCAGAATTCAGCACAACAACTGCTACATAGCACAGGAATGAGGGCAGGCGGTTACAGAAGTCTACCACATGGCCCCCAGGCAGTGGTGTGCTAGAAAACTGGCTCTCAAGAAAAAACAAAATACAAAAACCCTGATTTGTAACATTGGCCAATTTCCATGGTGTAAATACTCCTGCCACGGCCAATTTCAAGCACTCACAGCTCTGATGAACTGATTTTACCCTCCTTAGGCACAGAGGTGTCTGTACGAGATCACACGGAGCCTACTACTCTAACCACTGTCCTCAATAATTGTTTTGCTCCTGACTCATTCCACATTTTTATTTCCTCAGATATAGATTATTTCAGAACCCAAAGCCTTGTGTGAGAATAAAAAATTATTCTTGGGCCCTGTTCTCCAAACCCACCTACCTGATTTTCTGAAAGCTGCCCTTAGGTCATGGAATCATTTCAAGTACAAACAAGAGTGTTACTCAAACTTGGAAATTATTACAGGAGAGATTTTATAAGCACATAGATCTGTCCTGCAGTCAGCATATAAACTTTAATTACATTAAAGATGCAATGTTTAAATTTTTAAATCTTTTTTTATTGATTTGTAAGAAAGAGAAGAAGGGGGAGAGAGAGAGAGAGAGAGAGAGAGAGAGAGAGACATCGATTTGTTGTTTCACTTATTTATGCATTCATTGGTTGATTCTTGTGTATGCCCTGACTGTGGATTGAACCCACAACCTTGGCATGTCAGGACAACCAGGCTCTAATGTTTTTAATTTAAAAATTTTTTTAAATTATATTTTATTTAAAGATAGAATCCTGTGCCCAGAACACTATTTGAGGGCAAACTGTGAGAAAATTGGGCCTGGTACCATGTCAGTACACATAGTGTTTGGAGAAATAGCCTCTGCTCCTCACCCTATCCTTCCTCTCTTCTTTCAGATGAGTACCTGAGCCCCTGGAACTTTCTGGAATGGGCGGAAACAAGCTGCTGCATGCTTCAGATGCCTCTCTTTGAAAGTACCACCCGCTAGTTGAGCAGAAAGGAGGATGGGGGAGGAGCCCTCAGTCCCAGAGAGACAGGTGGGTGCCCTGGGCGGAGTCTCCTGGGTCAGCGTTACCTGATTCTCTGAATGCGACAGTCCTTTCCACTCAGCACACTGCCCAGCAGCTCCATCACGGGGTCCTGGAACTGGTTGGTGTCCAGCCTGGTCGGGAGGAACAGCAATTGTGAGTGGTACCACCTCCCATAGGCAGGGTGGATGAAGTCCCTGGCTAGCACAGGAAGGCAGGAGGGGGCACTAAGCTCAGACACCCAGGCTAGGATCCTCCTCCTCTCTCCATTCCACTGTAGCTCCCACCATATGGCCCAGAGACCTAGGACAGCACACCCACCGAGCTCACAGTTTTCCTACGAAGGTGAACTGGGAGGCTCAGGGGCATGAGCCCTGGGGTTTCTATCCGTGTGCATCTGGGAGATGCTTGCTGCTAGTTCTCCTCCTTCTGAGGACATGGAAGCTGCTCTCAGGTCCTGAGTGGCCCTGGCCCTGGTGCCCTTCCCTCAGCCCCTATTAAGGTTTGGAGCAGTGGACAGAAGATGGGCTGAGGGCGGAGAGTGTGGGTATGGCTTCTGTCAGCACTGGGATGGTTCACAGGGTGTTATGGGTTGAATAGTGTCTCCCCAAAAGCTGTGTTGGCATTCTAACCCCCCAGTGGCTCAAGAGTGTGACCTGATTTGGAAATAGGGCTGTGGCAGACGTAATTAGAGAAGATGAGGTCACACTGGAGTGAGGTGGGCCTGTCATCCCATACGACTGATGTCCTTACAAGCAAGGAAAGCCCTATGTCAGTGGCTCTCAACCTTCTGGCCCTTTAAATACAGTTCCTCATGTTGTGACCCAACCATAAAATTATTTTCGTTGCTACTTCATAACTGTAATGTTGCTACTGTTAGGAATCGTAATATAAATATCTGATATGCAGGATGGTCTTAGGTGAGCCCTGTGAAAGGGTCGTTCGACCACCAAAGGGGTCGCGACCCACAGGTTGAGAACCGCTGCCCTATGTGAAGACAGACACGGAGAAGGTAGCCCTGTGGCCACAGAGGCGGAGATCGGAGTGATGGATTTATAAGCCAAGGGTAGCCAGCAACACCACAAGCTACAGAGGCAGGAAGGATCCTCCCCTGAAGGTGTCAGAGGGAGCACAGCCCTGCCAACACCTTGAATTTGGACTCGGCCTCCAGAACTGTGAGAGAAAACGTTTCTATTGCTTTAAGCCACCCAGTCTGTGGACCTTTGTGACAGCAGCCCCCAAACACTGACGCAGAGGCTGCTGGTGGAGGGCAAGTACTTTCCAGGGCCTCTCCTCTCTCCTCTGCCAACACCCCTGCACACACCACCCTGGTGCCCACCTCAGACTCCGGCAGTAGAGCAGCTGGGGCAACAGGCTCTGGAGGACACCCTGACTGAGGCTCAGGGACAGGTTGGCCTCCTGGGCGCAGGCATCTGACACCTGCAGAAGGTAGGCCAGGGCAGCCCGGTGCCGGGGGCCGGTCAGCCTGGCCAGGCCCCCGCTCTCCATGGCCTCCTCCACACTGCGGGCCAGCTCTGTGTGCTGCAGCTCGTGCAAGCAGTGCAGCACATTGACTGCCCGGGCACAGACCACCGTGTTGGGCTGTAGGCAGCCCTGCAGGAGCTGGGCCACCTGCGCCCGGGAGCCCTGCTGCTCGCCCGGGGCCAACAGGGAGCCCGCCAATAGGTCATTGACCCTTGGAGATAAGAGGCCGCAGAGGAAGCGAAGGAACACATCCAGCCGTCCGTCCTCAGCCTGCATGGCCCGCTGGGCCGCACTCCTGAAATGCGTGAGGAAGCCCAGCCGAGGCCAGGACACACCGCCCTCCGTGAAGAGGTCGAAGATGGCCCTCTTGGACGCGCTGTAGTAGTACGCAGCCCCCAGGAACTCCTGCAGAGACAAGTGGGTGAAGCAGTAGGCTGCCCAGGAGGCCAGGGTCTCCTCCCGCTGCAGGAAGTAGCTGCACACGCTGCTCTGCAGCAGAGCAAGGTCCACACCAAACGCCTTCAGGTCCGGCTCATAGAACACGTACTTCTTCTTGACCAGCCCATGGAAGGCCATCCGGCCCAGCGTCCCCACCATCCTGCGGCCACCGTGGGCCAGCTGCTCAATGCGAGGGCTCACCTTGCCCTTCTCCTGCCCCTCCCCGCCCAGGGCCATCCGGAAGTACCAAGAGTAGAGCTCGCACAAGGTCCTTGGAGGCCACAGCTCTGTGTCCTGGGGCCCCTGCCTGTGGCGGCACAAGTGGCCCAGGGCTAACCCCGCCAGGCGGCAGAAGGCCGGGACGGTGCACATCAGGTACAGGGCCCTGTGGGTCCGAACCTGGCTCAGGACCCAGTCCAAGAGGACCTGGTCCTGGGGGAACATCTGCTCCAGACACACTTTGATCTCCTCTTCATTAAAGCCCCGGATCTCAGTCATCCGGTCCACCAGGCCCCCTGGGATCTGGCCAGCTGCGCTGGGACGGGAGGTGATCCAGACAGAAACTTCCGGGAAGAGGTTGCCCCGGATGATGTTGGTGATCAGGTGGTCCACCTGTATCTCCTTCTTGGGGTCCGTGCAGGCCACGGTGTTGGAGAAGTCCAGAGGAGTCTTACACTCATCCAGGCCGTCCAGGATAAGGAGCACTTTGGCCAGGGCTGCCACTTCCAGGCCAGACTCCCCGACGTGTGGGAAGATGGAGCGGATGAGTCTGTCTGCGGACAGCTTCTCATGGGTGTTGAGATCCCGGAACGTCAAAGGCAGCACCAAGGAGAAGTCCTTGCCAATCTGCCCCCGGGCCCAGAGGCAGACAAAGTGCCTCACCAGGGTGGTCTTGCCCACACCAGCCACCCCGATGGTGATGGAGATGCGGGGCGGGATGGACACCCGCGACAGAGGCAGGAAGAGCCTGTTCAGGGCGATGGTCCTAGCTGAGCGCCAGGCCCCACGCGTGGCCTCCACCTGGGTGAAGTCGTGTTCCCTCAGTTGCAAGTCCATCAGGCCTTCCACTAGCAGGAGGTTGGTTAGCCTGGGTGAGGGACCACCCAGCTCCAGGCTGCCTCCTGCCCTGCTCAGAAGGGCCTCTTGGTGTCTCTGTATCCGCGAGTCTGTGGATGGAGGTCAGAGCTCAGGGTTGGGGAGGGCGGGTGTAAAGAAGGAAAGCGGCGAGGCAAATGAAAAGCAGGGGCAGGAGGTAGAATCGAGGGGGATGAAAGGAGAGGAGGGGGAAAAGGCTTGGGGACACCCCTCCGTCTGCCTACCATTGCCATGAGGCCCCCGTGGAGAGTCGGGTGTCCTGTCAGGGGTCTGTGGGGCCTGGGAGCCCTGACAGCCTTTCCCGGCCAGCAGGTCCATGAGGGCTTTCACCTGCTCTGCCGGGGAGCCAGCACCATGGCCCTGACCAGCCTCCCCGCCCATCCGCATCTCCTGCTTCCTCATGGAGTCCAGGATTGCTGCCAGGAGCTGCGAAGAGAAAGCCTGAACCTGCTGCCTGCTGTCTCCCTGCCCAGTGGCCTGGGACAGGTAAGGAGCCTCCAAGGATGTGTGGAGGCTCACCCTTTGGGGACCCACCCTTTCTCCTCTCCCAGCTAGTGGCCCACAGTCTGACCTCGAGGAGGAGGTTGGAGGGGCTGGTTGTTCCTGGATGCTGAGAATCGTTCCTAATGCCACAAGCATTGATCAGATGCAGGGGACCAAATGGACAAGAACCCAGGCCCAAGCTCGAGCACTTACTGGTTGTGTGACACTGGGCAGGCTGCCTGAGCCCTCTGTGCCGGGGTGTCATTTGTAACCTGGAAATGGCAATGCGGTTATGAGTAGGTCCACTCACAAGAAGGGAAGAAGGAAAGAAGCCAATCTGGAAAGGCTACATACTGTATGACTTCAACTCTGTGTTATTCTGGAAAAGGCAAAACTATGGGAACAGTGAAAAGATCAGTGGTTGCCAGGGGCTTGGGGTGAGGAGGGAGGGATGAGTGGGTGGAGCACAGAGAATTTTTAGGGCAGCGAATCTACTCTGAGTGATATACTACAGTGGTGGGTTCACGTCATTATACGTTTGTCCAAGCGCAGGGAATGCACAACACCAAGAGTGAACCCTCATGTAACCGATGGGCTCGGGGTGATAATGACCTGTCAGTGTAGGTTCATCTGCTGTAAAAAGTGCCACTCTGGTGGGGATGTCCACAGTGGGGGAGGGTGCACATAGGGGGCAGGGGGCATATGGAAATCTCTGTACTTAATCTTTCTCTCAATTAGTCTGTAAACCTAAAACTGCCCTAATAATGAAAGTCTAGTGATTAAAAAAGAAACAAAGAAAAAACGGAGGAGTCTAAAGAGAAAGGAAAGTTGGTTCTCAGAGCAGTGGTACAGCTACGTTTCTTACTCTGTTTCCTGGGGTCTCCTGGAAGAGCAGGGGCTCCTGACCCACAGGCAGCACTGTTTCTGCTGGGGATAGTGACGCAGAGGTGCTAAGAGGCAAACCATGTCTGAGTCCCACCCACTCACATTCCTTTTCCTCTGTGTAT